TCATATATTGTTCTTTAAACAGCTGTATGTTTAAATGCTTGTAACTTCATAAGGAAATGTCCGATTTGAATGATTTTTTTACCATTTTATAGCTATTATTTTACTCTCTAACACTGTATTAATAACGTCTTTGCCACAATGTTTATGTACGGTGGGCTTTAATGTGGTCCACCACGCAAAGCTTCTTGTTATCATTAGTACAACTCACTAGATTTAGTACTGTTGCAGTGATCCAATAACTCGGCACAGTTCTTAATCATGTGACCAGCAAACAGCGTGAAGATGCTTTTCATTCTCTCCGCGAGCATGTCAGTCACCTGGTAGAACGTCAGCAGACGTTCACTTTGGACAGAGCCTCGTGTGGCCCAGTTGTACAGCTTCAAGAACAGTGGTCTGAAGGAGACCTCTGATAGTCTCATGACCAGGCTTAGCAAAGCATCCAAGATATGACTTTCAACTGTTTTAGCTTTCTCCATGTCATCCTATGTAGCATGTAAAAATATGAGAATAAACAAGTAAATTATCAACAGTTTTATTTAAAAATATTATAGAGTCACATTAGTGTTTAGAAAAAAAACTCAAAAGAAAGTAATGAAAGCTGTCTAGTTTCAATAATTTGAAATATTGTAAATTGAAAATATATAATCATGATGACCTGCATCACAATTTTCTGAAAAATGTTTGAAATTAGATAGATGATCATTAAAATCATTAAAATTGTAAGAATAAAATATACTGTTAAGCCATGATATTATTAATCATTCTTATTAAAAAGATTTTATGGTGGTGGTACATGAGTTAAAAATACAGATTTTTTTTTTTTAAATCAAAATATCAGAAAGTCTTGCCCTATGTTGTCTTATCAATAGTTCAGTAGTCAATGTCTCATAGTCTATATTGTTTCTATCAGCATCTATGTTTGTATTGAATATCAAATCTTGTATATTTTATTTCATTCACTTTAAATTTGGAGGAAAAAATATTTTCAAATAAAATTGTAAAAAGAGCAGTAATTTACCTTTGAATGAATGGACCTAAAGTCTAGTGCATTCATGAACAGTGCCTGGAGGGTCCCCATCTGTGCTTTAAGATCTTCTTTACCCAGTAGAGTTACATGTTCTTTCAAGATGGCCATTAGTGATGCAATGCCAGCCTATAATTAAACGACAAATTATATACCAGTTATCATAGATTTTGCTATCTCCCAAGATGATTATAAAATTAATTATTAATAATAATATTTATAATCAATTGAATCATAACATCATGAATAATTTCTCTTTCACAATTTGCCAATATTATCACCTGAATTTTTAAAAGCATTTTTACTTAAAAGCCGTTGGACAGCTTATCTTAAAAAAAATGTTAATTACTAGCTCTACAAAATCCAGATATGCTGCATTATTTAATAAACCCAGTTAACTGATGACTGTAGCACAGTAAATTCACACAAAGTAATTCCCATTATTATTAAACTATTATTACTGTACTATTTCTGAACATGTACTATCATCATCATCGTTAATAAGACTTTTATACTATACCTGATTAGTTGTTACCAAAGTGTCATATACTTGCGAGATCACTGGAAGCAGAACACGAGGTGCCAATGATGCGGCCAGATGGTGAGCTACGGATCTTAGTCGCAGATTCAGTTGACTCTTTGAATCTTCTGAATTGACAGAAAATCTGCAAATCTACAAATTGGAATAATCAAAATAATAATAATAAAATATTTCTAATATAAATAGCAATAATAATAATATTGATAATGATATTAGGAATATCTTCAATTACCACTACCAGCTGCAGCTCACAACTCTTTTTATAAACTGTAACTGTGTCTAAAACCATTTTTCAAAGCACCCTCTAAAAATCTGCGACAGCCAACACCTCTGGTTGATGTCACAGCAATATACACCAGCTATGGCAAACATCAGCCGTGGCACATACGGCTTGTGTTATAAAAATACATTTTTGACATTGTTTGTCCGTGCAGAACTCCTTACGGCAAGCAACACCACTGGTATAAGCATCACTTGTGGCACATGCCAACATGGTACAGATGCCATACATGGCACACAACAACTACAGCACAAACCTACCTGTTGAGTCAGTTGCAGAAGGTATGGATTCAAGAAATGTGGCAAGGTTTCCATAACTCGATATACTGCCATCAACACACTGACTAAATGAAGATCAGAACTAAAAAAAATACAAAAAAATATTATGTCTATAGAATATTTTTGTCTGTCTGGTTTTTTTTTTTGGTTTTTTTTTTTTTTTTTTTTTTGTATATCTTAGTTAATTAGGCCTGTTACCATCAATGTTGATGAGAGGCGGCTACACAATAGTTACTTTATTTAATTTATAAGCCATGAAATACTCGCACCTAGGGCTGAAACATAGCGTGAGCCACTTCACAACCCGTCAACAGTGCAAGCTGGGGTAACTAAGCATGGTTGGCCGAGAATGGTCAGCGTGTGGTTTGAACCCTCGACAACGAGTTTCACAACCTGAATGGAAATCGCTGTGCCAAACCGCCTTCCCATAAGCAAGCATAAACTAATATGGTTTATTATAAAATTTAGAGAAGTGGTATATACTGTATGGATCTAACAGAGAGGTGATTAAATTAAGTCGAAGAGGCCAAATAACAAGGCGAGTCGAATGGACAAAAGGTTAATGCCAGGCCCCGCAATAATACAGCTATAATACCAGCAGTGGTTTGAACGGCACGCTCACCAATGTCTCTGGAGGTAGAGCAAGTCTTCTAGGATAAGGACTATAAACCATAGGCCCAGTGTACACAATTGACTCATGTGCACTAGAAAGTACCCAGTATATCTTTTGATGTAGGGGGTTACCCAGGTGTACTGGTCCATTCCACAGCCCTGCCCTCATCCAGTACAAAAATACACCGAAAAGGTGGTCTGTACTAAAATAGAAGAACAACAAGGTCAGGATTCAAAAATTTCCTTTAACTCACCCATCAAGCATAAAAGAACATTAACAAACTGCAAATTGTTCAGTATTCAGGCACAGGTATTATGGAGTGACTGATCTAGTTTATTAGCTGCTTCTTTACTTACCTACTAGGTGTTTCCTTGGGCTCCAGTTGCTGTAGTAGGGAAGGCATAAAACGAGGAATACTAGGAATAGTGTGAGCTTTCATACACCGCACAACTTCACCTAGCAGAAGACAGGCACTTGAGACAACCTACAGGAAAATGGCAAATGAATATCTCACCCATATCAGTGGTGGCTCCTCAAATTTGCTTACAGGTGTGGGTCTGAACCAAGGGACCGACTAAAGCCTTGGTCAGGGTCCCAAAATATAAATCCCTGGTACCATTAATGGGGAGAGTTTTTATGGCTTAGTATGGCCTGAATTGTGCTTTTAGAACACAATATAAATGGTAACTAGTAATGTGCATATATAATGCGCCTCTTCCTTGAGGTTATAAAGCGCAGTTCTTTTCCCTGGTTATTGGGTCCATATGCTTTAAGTGTTGCTGCTGGCAATCAAATTATTTTTGGTCCGACGACCTTGTTGTGGTGTTGGACAATGGGGTCCATGACTGTTTGACTGGGGGCAGGCCTGTTCAAATTGGGGGGAAAATAGTATGGAGTTTGAAACACATTTTTTTAACCCATAAAAGCAACCACAACTAAAATAAAAGGAGTATCAATTATATATATTTTTTTAATGGTATTTTCATTTCAATACCTGTAAGTTGCTGTTGCTATTTGCAATGATCTGTATGGCAACATCTATCACTGGCCCAAACTGCTGAGGATGACTTGAGCCAGCCAACTTACAGATCAGTTTCAAACTGTAGAGGGCAGTTTGCTGATTGATGAAACTTTCATCTTGATCACTCGAGACATCCGGACTTGACTTCGCAATCAACACTAGATGATCAAGGACCGTAAGCACCATGGACACCTTGAAAATTGATATTATAACACATATTACACAAATCAGTAGTAGAGATATTGCTGGTCACTAGGAAAGGAGTTAATGAAACTGAAACAGGGAGCAAAGGTTATGTCAATATCTCCACGGTTCAGTGCACACACAGTGGCTACCACCAGTTTAGCCGTCTTAGCCTAGCAGCTCTTCCATATCCCTCAAAATGAGAGATATATATAGCATAACTGCCATCCTGCCCTGGCTATTGGGTAAGAAACTTTAAAAATATGATAGGAAACCAACAGTAATGTAAAAGAATTAATGTCATGCTACGGATATATTGTAAACTGATTTTTCTATTGACACAAAAACCATATTTGATGAAAAATTCAGAAGCGGTTAATGAGATACAGATTTTTGAATTTATAAAATGGAGGAAATATGGGCGTAACCACCGTTTTTTCCACCTTTATGGGATTTTTGTTATGTTGTACAATTGTTTTTTCTCAAAAAAGACACAAAAAGCATATTTGGTGAAAAACTCGGAAGCGGTTAATGAGATACAGATTTTTGAATATGTAAAAACTGGGGAAAATAGCAGCATAATCACCTTTTTAACCACCCTTTTTTCCACGTTTTCCTCCTAATTTTAAATATTCAAAAATCTGCAACTTATTGACCGCTCCCGAGTTTTTTGTCAAATATGGTTTTTGAGTCTTAGAAAAATCAGTTTTATAACGTATCAAACAATTTTTGTCCTACAGAGCCTTGTTTTAAGCATATACAGGATAATCTAATAAATCACCAGTAGCATTGATATGAAGCTTATTACACTTTTTTGTATTACATTGTGTCATGCTACAAAAAAAAAAAAAAATCAGCAGTAGAATGTAAACACCAGCTTACCTGCTTCTCATCCAGTGATCCCATATGCTGCAAGATCTTGCTGTTCAAAAGTTGCAGTGCCTTTCTTCGAATGACTGGAGTTGGACTGCTAAGAAGTCCCAGCACTACGCGAACAAATAGATCCATAGACAAGAGTGAATTGACCTTCAAGAGAGAAATAAACAAATTAGAGATGGTGACAAGAGGGTAAAGCCAGCCACTTACTGCATTGCATGGCCGTCGGCCGACAAACCCATCTCCGCTACCTGTAAGCGTTAAACAACCCAAAGCCGTCTACTGATTGTCGGTGGTAGTGCGGATAGGTAGTCACTAAAAATTATCCCTTGCGCGCACGTCGTGGCAATGCGTTCTCCATAGAATCACATCAGCTAACGACGGTTGGGCGCTGTGAATGCCTGGCTTAAGAGAATAGTTTCAAAGGTCTCACCTGGTGTAGTGTCACCTTAAGGCCCAAAAATTATTATAATAGGCAAAACCTTTTTTAGAAAGACACAAAGAGGTTAGTTAGCAGGGGTTTACAATAGGTGTGTACATGACCTGTTCAATTGTGTACTGAGAAATGGTACATAAATTGTGAGTTAGCAATACAAATATTAATTATAATGTGAGCTGGCCCTTGAGCCCTGAAACACATTTAATCATGTGAAGCACAGATAGGCCTATATGTAAAACAAGTTTTATCCCAAGGAATGGGGTGTCATGAGCATAAAATTACTCGCATTTGTCCAACAAGGCGCTATGATATTTCACACGACAATCCTGTTTTAAAATTCCGAATTGTAAACATAAATAATTACAGCAGGCTGTTTTGTTACCTTGTCCATAATGCCATAAGCCTTGTGGATCAATGCCTTCCAAAACTTGACCGTCACCTTCCCAGCGTCAGCTTCCAGGCTTCTAGCTGACATTGTTATCAACTGGAGAGTGGTATCAATGAGGCTAAAATTGCATAATATTAATTAATAATCTATTGTCTTTTAATAATTTTTTAATGTTATATGATTTGATACTCAATTTTAATGTAACCATTTTCTAAGAAATATAATATACAGATGACGATGATAATAATAACAATATTAGGTTTCCCTCTAATTAAAGACCACTCCAATTCAAGACTACTTCCCAATAAAGACCACTTTCCAAATTAACAAATGTCTTTTATCTTCATTGTTCTAATTAGAGGAAAAACCTGTCCCAAAATTGGTCCCTAATTGGAGGGAGACCTGTATTCATAAAAGTTTATTGATGTAAACTGTAACAAAAAAAATGTCAATGATTTTAATGATTCACTTTTTTAACAATTTTCTGGTAGCTTTTAATGTTTTTCTTTTTTTTTATGTTTTTCTTTTTGCGCAATTGTGCAGTTAATGCATTTACTTGTTTTACTGGTAACAAGTGCAAAAAAAGCTAACTTTTCTTAGTATTCCTTGTAATCAAGGTCTCACAATTCTTAGGACTATTGTATGTATCATAATCAATATGTACTGTATGTATGTTTTTGTAAAATTGTATGACCTTTACTAAATAAAGTAACTAAAACTAATATATATTTTTTCCAAGCAGACCAAAAATACTTGCATGTTAGTGGAACAATTCTTTCAAGTAAACCAATGTACTGTATAGTGTTTCAATAAATAGTCTACAGGCAGACTCAATCACAAAAAAAAAAGCAACTTACGTTTGATAGAGGGGATTCAGTGCTTCAACTTCCAACTCGGACATTTCGGCAACTTGACCTACAAACTCATCGGTAGCCAGTAGGGTAATGATGAACGTGACGGTGTTAAATTTGAATTGGCGTAGCTGACGTGCAGAGTGATTCCCAACGTTAAATAGTTCAGTATCACCTTGGCTCCCTGCTTTTGCTGCCTTCAATGTTTTCTTGACTCTTTTTGGTGTTTGTGGTTCTTTGTAAACACAAGAAATCAGTACATTTTAAGTTACCAACAATTGTATAGGCTTACTATCTTTCTTAAACATCATGAAATATATTATTTCATATTTTATCAAATTGGTAATCCATCCTTCAAAGCTGAATATTTTCTACTACTAAATAATCCTAAAAATGATTTATAATCTTACCAACTGGTTTGTCATGCGGTAAAGTAAGCAAATACTTAAGAAGCATGGTGAGCGTGCTCAGTTGAGTGATACATGGGCTTTGATGACAGAGCGACAACGGTAACTTGAAAATGTTTGACAACTGAAATTGTAAGATAACATTAAATTAAATTTCGTAATCACAACACTGCACACAACAGGCATCTTGGGTGTATAGTGACTATATTCATTCACACAAATCACACGGGATACTCCACAAACTAATTCCATGAGTCCACTGGGCCACACTAAAGCGGAGACCTGTTATGCATGTATACTTCTACACAATGTAGACTAGGAAGATGAAAATCTGTAAGAAAGCCGAAACTGACCAGCCTGATCGCGGCAATGTGGTACTGGGTGAAGATATTAGCATCTTGCCTTCCAAAAAAAAAAGAGGAATTGAAGCCAAGAATTTTGAGGACTTTGCAAGAACAGCACTGAAAGAGACTGTAAACAGCCACAGCAGTATTGTTTGATGAGATCTTTAGTACATTTGTTCATGTATTTGGGGCAGTCATTCAAAAAGCGCATATGTTCTGCAAAGCTTTTTTAATAATTTAAAATTTTGCCAAAATTCAATCTGCTAAAAATTGATATCATGAGTTCTCTTCTTTTTTTTTTTTGAATGGCCGTGATGTAGGGTGTAGCCCCTTCGATATCTAGACCTGCCCACTGAAATCAAGGATGCGATACAAGTCCCTGACTATGCTGCGACACTGTGGTTTTCAAGATACATACCTTCTGTTCCTCTTCTTCTTTTCCTTCAACACCGCCAGATTTCTCCACATGGCCCGTTAACAGGAGTACAATTAGCATCCAAAGGTATCTTTTATGGCCTAGCGTTGCCACAAGTTCTGTGAACAGCATCATCTGCCTATGTTCTGGTACATGGGGTAGGGCATCAACAAATACACGTAGAACCATGGCAACAACATTATCTGTACCACCTGTCAGTGTTCCTTCTGGTGTCTCAGTGTCACTAGCCTGATTTTGAGGTAAAGAAGTTAAGAATTAATATCATACTGCCACCTAATCATAATCATAATAATAATAATAATAATAATCATTCTTTATTTGTCCTTGCATTCAAGCTGGAAATCAGAAATTTGGGCTTGGCCCTCTGATGACCCTTGGCAACCGCAGTGCAGTGCTAACTACAACATTTAATAAACACATACGGATACAAACATTTTGCTTAACCTGTCTAACTCTCAATATGAAGGTATTTCGAGGAGCCAAGCAATTAGAATCCAGTTAAAACCACATGCTGGACTGGTCTTCAGCAGACCAATACCTCTTAACCAAGGTTTTCCTCGCCAATTAAGGGCGTTTAAATAATAACATTCCTATAATCTTTGCATAAACCCTTAAGAGTTCTGGCAGCAAAATTAAATTTTTTTAATTGTAAAATAGGATAAGAAATGCAAAATAGTTGGCACAGTGGTTGTCTCTCAACATTGATGTAATGTTTTCTTAAGCAGGGCACTTGATCCACATAACCTGGGAGCTTAGAGAACCAATACAGTGATAAATACCGTAATATTATTGTATTAATAACTTGTCTGTTCATTTTATTAATTTTTTTTTTATTTCATTTTTTTTATTCTGTCCTTTTTTTTTTAATGGTGCCCATGGCCTGAAGTTTTATTCTAAACTTATTTTGGCCTCCTTCCACTCACTTATTCTGTAATGTATTATTATTCTTAGTTCGTTTTACTATTAAGCGTTTGTTATGTATGTTCATGTGTGTGGAAAAATAAATTAAACAAACATTCAATTATTCAGAGATCTACCCAGTCAGCCGTTTTGTTTTCTCAGTGTTGTTCTTCTGGCAACATTTCAAAACCTAATAGTGCCAAACGGTTGGGCCGATTTCAATCCAACTTGAAATCAGATTGAAATTTCAACCTGTAACCAGTGACACCTCCATACTTGGGGTGTTCACCACTTGGGGTAAAAGATCACATAGGGTCAAAACCCCAAAATGAAAGTCTACTTCGGTCACAAAAACATAGCAGACTCTTGTCCTCTGAGCTAAGCTAATGGATGAAGAAGCACGTTCAATGTGTGTGCTGATAGATAGTGAATGTGACACCAAATGTTAAAGTTCAAAGGTCAATTTTTCAAAATGATCCAACTGTGAGCTCAAATTTAACCAGGAATGATTTGACTGGGTTCATGTTCTGTAGCACATAGTTTCTAGTTTTCCATCAAACTTATTGAAAGTTGATTACTTACATGGTTGAACATTTTTAGAGGATTTTTTCTTGATATTTTGGGTGCTAATATATCTGACAAAAAGTAACTGTACGCTTATTCCAACAAGCAGGCAACCACTTTCAACAGTCTCAAATTTTAGTGTTAATTTTTGCATTTTAGGTTTCTTACCTTCACTAGAGTCGGTATAATGGTTTGCACTGTACGCTGAATAACCTGAAAACTGTAGTTATCATCCTGACGTAGCAAGTGCGCCCCCATGAATGTAAAAATAGACATTATGTTATGGAGAACACGTTCCTAGAAGAGAAAAGCAAAACAGTAGTAACAATTGAAATGATGATGATGCACCTGGAAAAGTGCAACCAGTGCTGATGATTGAAATGATGAAAGGAATATTTTTAAGTAATAACTTACTGGAAAAAGTTTTGCCAAAGTTCCTAGTAAGAGGAGGGCATGGTTTTGTGTTTGGGGATTGTCGGAGACTCGCACGCACTGTACCACCAGCTCCACGTTGATCTGATCTTCACTAAGGACGTCTGAAGGGATGGACTCTCCATCAGGTGAGAGATACAAACAGAGGTTCTGCAGTAATGTCAGAACCAATTGTTGAAGGTACTCTACGGACGAGTGGTCTTCACTTTTTGCTACATTCAAACACCTACAAAGAATTCACAGCTAAATTTTAACATCTGTAGATACATTCTCCTTAAGGTTAAGATTGAAAAGAACATAACATTTTGTAATATGATTAACAAAAGCAGGATTTAATATTAGCCTCTACCAAAATAAATTAAATAGTACAAATAATAAATATAATATATATAGTAAATATAGAGTATGATAATGAAATAAAATTTTAAATATAACACGGAGTTCTCATTTACGTGTTTATGAAGAGATAGAAATAATTATGTGACGCACCTTTGAAGTACAGTAAATAAACAGGGTGTCAGAAGTTCGGGATCGTCAATGTGTTTAATCTTGCGCTGTTGTAAAAGCTCCATAACATATGTTATACGTTGAAAAGTCTCTTTATCAATACTCTGTTGCTCTGCGGTGCCTTCTTGCGCAAGTCTGCCATAGACGTGTAAAAATTTATATCAAGTAAATTAATAAAAAATCTATAAGTAATCTGGGACTGAATCACATATCTGAGGAAGTTAGAGCAAGCCTGCACTTTAACAATTTTAAGGTTTATTCACATTTTTTTTCTCATATTTTTTTTTTATTACCTCCTAGCTTTGCGGGTTTCTCGTATTGAGCTCTTTGTGGTAACTTCCAATTTGGTGAATTCATTCTTCAGATGTTTAGAACTTAATGGAAGCTGAAAAATAATTAAAAAAAAAAAATAAGTCAAGGATGACAGAATAATTTCATAATGACGATGCAACACATAAATATTGACTGTCGCTGATAGTCTGAGCGGACAGTCATTCAATACCATACCATCCGTTTACACACGCCTCATCATATTGCAATCTCCATCAAAACACATCAGCTGGTGACCATCTGCACAGTGTGTGCTCAATTTAGCTCTAAACCTTTGTCCACACTATCAAATTTTATGTGAGAAATTTGTGTGGTATGTGCCCTTATATGGGCATGAAGTCACATTCATCTATATTTGATTAATTTGTTTTTTATACCAAGTTTCCTCTTCAGTAAAATGTTACTACCCTCCCTGTATGTATAAACACATTATTAATACACCCAAATATGGGCATATTACATTTATTAATCCCATAAAATTTCATAGTGTAAACAGAGGTTAAGGCAGTTTTGAGTTGTTTCACTAAATGGATCACAATTATTAAATATCGTGCATAAAAATGCCTCACCTTTTTCAGTATCTTCATGAACACTGATGGAACAGATGGATTGGCTGACGACATCACTATGTCCAACACCTTCGATAACATTTTCTCTTGGATTTTGATGGATTCAATAGCAAGGAAGAATGGCTTAGTAAGCTGAATATAAAAAATCAAGTGTATAACTAATTATAAACAATAAACTATAGATATTGGTCTTAAAATTGCTGCTTCATATTTTTGTGATATTTTCATAGTTTTTACTGTATTACAGAATAATTAAAACAAAACAAACAGATAATATATAAGCATTTTGATTGGTCAAATAACTGTCTACAGCACATCCTGAAAATATTCCCAACTCGGAATGAAATAAATTTATAAAAACACAACGGACATTTTATATTCTTTCATCCCCTGAAATGTAAGATAATTAATTTCTTTTTCATCACTAATAAAACAACATATATATATATATACATACCTGACTCAGAGCAATCTCCTGGGGACTTCCTAGGCTACCTGCTAGAAGAACGTCCACGCTCAGAGCCTTGTTGAAGCTGCCCTGACAAGGTCCGTCCATGAGACCTGCTGTGGCAGGAGTGAAATGCTCCAAGATCAGGCTTACGTTGTGACTGTCTGTAAGGCTCAGAGAATTGCTTTCTACCAGTTGTACCAGAAGCTCATCAAGTAGAGCATAGGAATGTGTGACAACCACCTTAACAATTGAAAAATACCGTATTTACTCGCGTATAATAAGACAAGGCTTAAAATAGAAAATAACAAATTAAAAAAACAGGGGTTGTCTTAGAGGAACGACATACAAATTTTCGATTTATTAAATCATGTTCCTCTTATGTGCGGATCGTTTGTAACATGCAAATTTAATACGGCAATGAAGCTGCTAAATGTTAGTATGAATGAATGCAATTTTAAATATGGGGAAATAAGATTTTGATGAACATTTAAAAACTCATAAAATGTTATTTTGGAAGATTGGTCTTGCATTTATCTCCCTTTTCAGCCTGCTAGATGCAGTATCAAGACCATAAGAATTCCGACGATAAAACACGAGGTTCGTCTTATATGCCCAATATACAAAAATTGTCCAAAACACTTCTCAAACAAGTATGCAAGTGTATATATAGGGAATATAAAAATAATGATAATAGTCCATGAGTTATAATGCACCATTCACCTGGGAATCCATTTCAAGGAGCAGACAATTCATCACACTATGAAAAAGTACAAAGGAGATTGTATGTGTTTGTGAAACAGAAAAAAGATTTCAAAATTATAATCAGTAATTTCAAATTTTCAAATTTAATCATTTTGAGACAGGCAGCTGGCAAAATGTTGTTGTTCAGGCCCTCAACCAAGTGCTTAGCCTAGGTATTACCTAAGAAAAGTAACTAATCCATACCTTTTCGTCAGTGCTTCGAAGAGCAATAAGAACAGCATGTTTGACGGACGAGGGTAGGCTTCCAACAAGACAGTGTAGCAATGCAGACAAGGCTGCCTGCTTAGTAACTGACCCACTTCCTTGTTTGGGAGATGCTGTTGACTGTTTATTTATGAAAACACTCAATATCTGTGGTTAGAAAAAAGATTTTTTTGGAAGTTACACATATTTTTCTTTGGACCTTTAAGGAAGAATTGTATGTTGATATACAATAAGAGCATTAGTGTCAATCTCAGCAATGATAACTACAAGTTAGAACTGTCAGTAATTTCATTACATTACATTTCATTTTCATTTGATATAATCTTAAACAGCTTCAATGTTCAATGCTACTAGCTATTCTTATCTAGCCATCCAGGTGCCATAGACTCAAAAATGTTGTACTTCATCCTCAATCATGGTGGTGGACCCTCCGTCTGTTAAATCCCAGCCTGGGCTTCTTTTTTTTTTTCAATTCCTAGATCCAACAACAATTACAAGCATCATAGTATAATAATACTAATAAACAATTAATCTTGATAAATAAATTACTAAAGTATTAGCTTTCATTTAAAGTAAACGTAAACAATACTTAAATAAAAGTTATAAATCTAAAATCTTACTTGTGGTAACTGATTTGCATCAGCAACAATTTCTTCCCTTCTTTTATTTAGATGCCGTAGAAGTAAGCTGTAGGCTGCAAGACAGTCTTTCTCCAGTTTATCCTTCATGGCATGGAGCAGGCTAGCGCCTGCCCTGCGGACTGGCTCAACAGGGCTACAAAGAACCCCAAGCAAGGATGGAAACACTGTTAAAGAAAGGTACATACTTTCATTTACATTGACAGTAGGAATACATGTAGAAGATGAGATGGAATACACAAAATCATAATCCAACAAAATTTAATCAATCATATATGCCAAATCATCATCAGTAATATCATCTTCATGATTGTTAATATTGACAAAAGTAAATAATTCAGCATTCATTCACATTACAACCATAATCATTATCATAATTATTATCATAATCATTATCCACATAATTTATTATTTAACAATATAATCATTAAAAGCTATTTGATTCTCAATTGTTGATTTTTTAATAAATATCATTGTCACTATCACAATCGCCATTGAAATGGTCATACAATCGCCACTGCTGCCAATACAAAATAACCATAAGTAAAAAGTAAATCCTTGCCAAGCCACTATAGCCCATAGGACTGGACATTATCCCCAGCATCAAGTAGTGTGAAGCGGACGAGTGTAATGCTCTCCTGGGGTGGGACCCTGTTCCACCACAGGTTACTCTATCCCAGCAATTTGTTGGTACCCATTGTTACAGCTGGGTAGACTGAAGCAATGTAGATAAAGTGCCTTGCTCAAGGGCACAAGCCAAAACATACAGCATTGGGAAACCAAACCGTTTTCACTGCGCCAAACCGCTTATACTAACAACCATAAACACCTCCAAAAATAAAAACAAATTTGAATTTGATTGAAATATAAAGTCTTATACTAATAACCATGAACACCTCCAAAAATACAAACAAATTTGAATTTGATTGAAATATAAACTCCTGTAGAGACTCCTGTACTTGACAAAAACATGTGACATTCCTAAATATGGTCATGACGACATCACATCATGACCATATATAGGCACATCATGCCAGAGCTTGATATCTGGGTACTTACCAATTGAGTCAGAGGTCAAAAGTGAATGCACTTGTTCGTTACTAAAACCTCTTACTGCTGCTGCAGCAACATTTAAACTGTGGATTTTGAGCACACTTGCTGACATATTATTCAACTGGTCGAGCCAGATGGTGGCGAAAAATTCCCACAAGACCGATGCATTGAAAAGATGTAACTGTGAAAGAATTGAGAAATAGGTATCAAGATTTGAACCCAGAATGCTGTGACTGGAAGATAAGCTACTCACCAAGTTTGTATAAATTATTGTTAAGCTCTGTCTAGATTATCAAATATTCTAATTTGATAGTCTGGAGAGGGCTTTAGTCTTTGTACATTTTTGATGATCCAAATTTATTTTACTTGGACAACACATCGCTGGTATTCAACCAGCATTCTTTAACATATTGCAGATCCTGTTACAAATAGGCAATGGACAAAGACTTAAATTATTATATGTTTCGTTGGTTCTGGATGAATGTTTTCACTAACGGCTCTATATTTTTTTTAATTGTTTTCTTTTTTAGTATGTTTGTTGAGATGCAAATAAAGCAGATCACATCTAACCTTAAACAGCTGTATTGACAAGTCCTTGAATGCTTTGCAAAAAACAGATGCTCGACTGTCGGATACTCCAGCCATGAAAACTGAAAACAACTTCTTAAGGAGGCTGGAATACAGTCTAAGCTCAACATGCTCCGAGTCCAACCACCTGAGGGCAGCTACAGAAAAAGAGGCAATGTACAAAGAGTCAGACAGGTATCAAAATTGACAAATCAATATTTAGCTTCAATGGTAACAAAATGCAAATGGTCACTCATATTCATTAAAATTAACACTGTGCTCATTAACAGAATAACTAAATGCATCCATCAGTCTCTTACAGATAACAAAAGAACAGCCACATCCAAAAGTTGCACTAGTTAAGAAGAGGGCTTTTTTAAACTTATATTTGACATCCAGTGTGCCTTCTTTTTGACTCACAATTTTACATTATCATTACATTGAACACCTGTAAAAATAAATACAATACTCTGCAACTTGCCTAGCTTTGAACCCCTGTTTCGAACAACAATATTACTGAAATCCATTATTTAACTTACTGCAAGAGAAATCATCTGACAAATGTATGCCCTTCACAATGTTGCTGAGTGCCCAGAGAGTTACCTCAGCTAGGCCTATGTCTATCTTGTGTGATCCAACAACCCGCGATTTCTTCTTGTCTACAAGACGCAAACCAAGATTCAGTGTAAAGTGGCTAGGCAGCGCAGCTGCAGCCCAGTTACTAGATATTGCTGCTGGGCCCTCCTCAAGAATGGCTGTCAACTGCAAGCAAAAATTTGAAGAAAATCATTAGTCAAACAAGATTTATCTTTTCAATGTATAAAAATTAATAGAATTAAATACGCTAAACGGTAAATCAAATATTAATATACTCCTCAGAATGTTCCCATTAAGCCGGTTTTACACTAGGCAAATTTATTCATGCAAATCGAAAGCACCGCTCTGATTGGTTGCACATTTTTTTTCACTTCGTAAAATATAGAAATGGTTCAAGCTATTGATTTCGCTAAAGCGAAAACTCTGATCAAAATTTTAATGCGCATGCGCATGATCCGACGCTTTTGATTCGCACAAATAAATTCACTTTGTGTAAAACTTGCTTTAGGACATGTTTTGTTTCAAGGTATTGCATAATATGCTATAATTAAAAGATAATACGTATAACAATTCTGGTATGGAGAAACACAGCCAATAGTGACACAGTTCTGCATTGCGAACATCACACACAACACCATGTGATACCCATTCATACTGAGCAAGGCCACCCAGGCTGTTGATAAGGCTGAGTACCTCCAAACCTAAGCTTCAATTCATACAAGCTTTAAACTTGATGTAACTTTCAAACTTTACAAAGCATATCCTTATTTTAGATGTGTAATCGTATATTGTCAAGTAGATATTCCGAGCACAATTAACATATGCAAAGCTTTTGTGTTTTTATTATGATTTATATTAATCAGCAATTATTATCATTATTATTATTATACATCAGATGAAAAAGCTATGCTTTACTACAGCTAAATGTTTCAGGTTCAAATCCTGGTGGTATGTATAATAAAATGCAATTACCTTCTTTCCTTTAACTGCACAGATCTTGATTACTTCTGGTTCAAGAAAACTGACAATTTGCTGACACATTTCCATTCTCTCCACGGCATTCGTCATATGCTGTATCGTACTTGTTGCAATAGCAATGGCTAAAAATCGCAAAGGCTTTATACTGCCCTCTTCCTCTTCAGCACAGCAATAAAGAAGGTTAGTCTGAAACACATTCATGTGATCAATTAATCATCTACAGAGAGCAAGTCTCAGCAACCATTAAATTAAATTAATAGGTGAAATGCAGTAACATATGATTCGTACAATAAAATTAATTGAATAAAGTCTTGAATTAAAGGGGAGGGGTCTGATGGAGCTTGTAGGTGAAGATCAATGATTAAGTAAGAGAACACTAGCTTGCAAAATAAGGTGATTTGAGGTTATTTTCATCTCATTGAGTGTGATTTTTTGTTTTAAACATTTTCAGAGTAGGGGGTGCAAGTTATTTTATAAGAGGGGGACCCATAGATACACCACTTTGAACAGGTGAACAAACTTACAAGCCTTAGACGATCTTCTTTATTTATGGTTGCCATGTTGGTTCCTAATAAGTTAACAAGGGACTTAGTCAGTTGGTACACCTTCTCAGCATCGCTGTCATCCCCATCTACAGTTGTATACACTAAATGAAAAGAGAGACAAAACGATTAAATAATAGAGTTCGCCCTCCAATTCGAGACCCCTCTACTAAGTTCCGAGACCCCCCTAATTCGAGAACACTTTTTCAAAAAACCAAATGACAACTGTCAATCTTTTAACACAAAGCTAACCGTCTAAGTTGAGACCGAATGCCACGTCCACCCCAAATTTTCAGGTCTGAAAGTGATCTCGAATTAAAGGGCAAACTGTAACTGAAACTCAGATTGTTCTGAATAAGTTGGTTATTGTAGTAGTCGCTGATGATTGGTTGTTTTTGTCAGTTAATTATTTTTGTCAGTTGGTTGGTTGGTTGGTTGGCTGGCTGGCTGGTTCTCTGTTGGCATCAGTTGGTTTTTGTTGTTAATAGATAGTTGGTGTCAGTTAGTTGTTGGCAGCTGGTTGTTGGCAACTTAGTTGTAGGAAACTGGTTGCTGGGTTCAGTTGGGTTTTGGCATAAGTTTTCATTGTCAGTTATTTTCAGGTGGTGGGTGGTTGTCAATGTCAGGTGAGTGTTGTTGGTTGTGGGAGGTTTTTGCTGTCTGTTAGGTTTCAGTGCTAATTGGTTGTTGGTGTTAATTGACACTGTCAATTAGTTACAATATCGGTTGGTTGTTGGTGTCGGTTAAATTGCGGTAGGTTGAATTGGTATTGGTGGTTGATGAAATCACATGGTGCCAGTCAGTTTTTTGAGTCAGTTGGTTGTTGGAGTCAGATTGTTTGTTTCAGGTAATTGTTGGTATCAGTTAAAAAAATTAAAAACTACATACCAGATGCTATGTTTGTCAACAAAGCATGATGAGAGGTCATCGCTGCATTGAGTATGATCTGGGTCAGTTTCAACAGAGCAGTGAAATTCTGAGTAGTAGGGAACAGGTAAGGCAGAAGCGTTACCATTGCCCTGTCTACTATATCAGTGTTATTTGACCAGAGATTGGAAGTGGTGAGTAACGTTAATACCCTCTGCCCAACTTTATACCTAAAGCCAAGAAAAGGTGTTTATAATCAAGGATAACATTTCATAATCATTATTGTTACATTCATTTTACCTCCGCCAAAGGAGGTCATGTACAGTATTCACCACTCACTGTCTGTCTGTCTGTCTGTCTGTTAGCAAGATTACATAAAAGTTAGTGATTGAATCACCATAAAATTCATTGGAATAGTACATTTGATAATTAAATTTTGAAAATGAAAAGTCAAAGGACAAGACCAAGGTCAGAAAATTTATTTTTTCCCCCAAGCATAAATGAGAATAATGTAATAGCCTGGCTGTGCATTGTCTGGTATTCAGGCACAGGGAGAAAAATAATGGAATTGCCCATCTTTAATTCAAGCACAGGGTGGAGGTATGCACTCTATGGACTGACTGCTCTAGTTGTTACTACAGTGTTAAGATAAAACTATTTATTTGGTTGTAAGCATGGTTCATAAATACAGGAATTTAGCAGCACCTTGCTCTAGAGTCAGGCCGCTTGTGTTCGCGTCTCAAGGATGCTAGTGCGAACAAAGCTATGTTCCAACACTGTGCAATATCGTAACTAAACCTATGTCTATAAATAGACATTAGTTGTCACTAATATTCATTACATGCCTTCAAGACTTCATACTAAATGTTGTAATACATACCAAGCGGCGTCTGTACGCCCTCGCCATTTTCTGAGAATTGCAAGCAGCGCTTCGAACAGTTGCTCAGTAGGAAAACAGCAAAGCAGGCTCTGTGAAAAATTGTAATATGATAAAAAAATATGAAATGAACAACAGTATAATTAACTGAAGCAGGTATAAGCCTACACACCCCCACAAAAATTGGCTGATTTTGGATTACATGACAAAACAAAAATGCAAGTAATAGATATGAACACAGACTAGCTAGCTAAGCCAAAGCCTAGGACAGAGACCTGGAAATGCAAGCATGGTAGGCCTTACAAAGAGACCTTTTTTGTATCAAAACAAGCTATTTCTATGACAATTTTTCTAGTTTATGACCAAAAGGCATACGTGGTAACGACAAGCCAAACCTAGTCACTCCTTGCACATAATCAAGTTTTAGTGATACAGGGTTATAAAATGGTAAAAGAATCATTTAAATCTGACATTTTGTTATAAAGTTACAGGAGTTCAAACATACAGCTGTTTAAATACAGTTTTTGAGAAATCAGCCTTCAAAATTTACGATTTCAGAGCTTTCTCAGGCAGAGACCATCAATAAATTGTTAAAAAATGTTGTATAATGTTGAAAATTGAGAAAATAATAACATAGTATGATGTATAGAATACTATGTTATTATTTCTCAATAATAACATAGCATGATGTATAGAATATATTTTTTAAATGTTGACATTCCTATATGTTTTGGCCATTAAAGTCCGGTTTTCTTAAAATCGCTGCCACTATATTGTCACTATAGTGTTGTCACTGCAAACATTGTACTGTGTTGCAATCCCTCACGCAATTGGAAAGGCTCCTTAATTCGACCGACCAATACTGTGTAGCAATCGTATGGAAACCAAGCTCATCTCCAAAAAACGATTTGTGAGCAGTGAATGATTTGGCTTGTCTTCACCACATATATTAGCCTAAATAGTGAAATATTATTGCACAAGTTTCACAAATTATTACACTAGTAACAGGATTAGCTTATCTGATTAACTTCACTTTGAACATAATTAGGAGTTACATTTTCTTTTGATGGCCGTCTACCTGAATTCAACAAAATGTATCAATTTTTAAATTGCGAGCAGGAAAAAAAGCGAAATTAACTCACCTCTTCACACCACAATGCTGCAAGTATTACGTTGGCATCATCATCATTCATTCTTGCAATGACAGAGCTCACAAAAAAATCATCAATATTTGCACCCTGCAAGAAAAATCATTTGTAGGTTATACTCACTTGTTCCCTTTGACGTTCTTCGTATTCTCTATTTCTCCCTCACTCCTGCCTATCTGAGTTACTGCAACACTGTTTGGGGAAACACCTACTCATCTAACTCAAGTACAAATAAGTTCAAAAAATTCAAACTGGCGCTCCACCTCGATCTCACTCTTCTATTTCATTCTCTAATCTCAATCTTGTAAAACTCGCTGATATAAACTACCTTCATCCATGTTTATTATGTAACATATTCAAATCTAATTACTCAATTTATAATTACAGTACGCAAAATGGATCTGATATTCATACACCCACCCACCAACTAATTATTTCCAGCATAACTTAACATTTTCCGGCCCTAAAATTTGGAATTAGTTACCCTTTCATTCAATTAATGCCTCTTCCAGTAACATCTTTTCTAACCAGCTCAAAAAACACTTAATTATATTCATTTTATTTTCTATTACATCTTCCTTAACC